GCTCAAAGAAATCAAAGATAAGCAGGTCATGATGGCTCACATCTGTAATCCCAGCACTTTGGGAGGCTGAGGCGAGAGGATTGCCTGAGCTCATGGGTTCGCGACCAACCTGGACAACATGGTGAGACCTTGTCTCTACAATAAATCAAAAAATTAGCTGGGCATAAAGGTGTATGCCTGTAGTTCCAGCTACTTGAAAGGCTAAGGTAGAAGGATCGCCTGAGCCCGACAGGTTGAGGCTGCAGTGGCCATGAACAGTGAGACTCTGAATCAAAAAAAAAAAAAAAAAAAAAAATCAAAGGTGACACAAACAAATGGAAAAATACTCAATGCTCGTGGATTGGAAGAATCAATATTGTTAAGATGTCCATCCTATGCAATACCCATTAAACTACCAACATCATTCTTCTCAGAACTGAAAATAATACAGAAATTCATATGGAAACATAAATGCCCACAAATAGCCAAAACAATGCTCAGCAAAAGAAACAAAGCAGGGGGTATCACAATCCCAGACTTTAAACTACACTCTTAGGTTACGATAATCGAAACAGCTTGATACTAATACAAGAACAGGCATATAGACCAATGAAACAGGATAGAGATTCCAGAAGCAAAAATTCAATTTCTCAACCAACTCATCTTTAACAAAGCCATCAACAACAACCACTGGGGAAAGGAGAACTTATTCAGCAAATGGTGCTGGGAGAACTGGCTGATCACATGCAAAAGAATGAAACCGGACCCTTACCTATCACCTACACAAAAACCAACTCTAAATGGATCAAAGACCTAAGCAAAAATTCTCAAACTATAAGAATCTAAGAAAATACAAGAGATATCCTTATGCATATTGGAATAGGCAACCAATTCCTGATCATAACCCTAAAAGCATATGCCATAAAAGATAAGACAGACAAGTGGGACCTCACCAAACTGAAAAGCTTTTACACAGCAAAAGACACCATCAAGAGAGTGGGATGACAATCCACAGAATGGGAGAAAATATTTGCTAACTGCAGATCTGACAAAGGCCTAACATCCAGGATCTACAAGGAACTCACTATTGGAAAGGAAAAAAACAACCCAATTAAAAAGTGGGCAAAAGATATGCATAGACAATTCTCAAAAGAAAAGAGCCAACAGACACATGAAAAAATGTTCAGCTTTGGCCAGGCTCGGTGGCTCAGCCTGTAATCCCAGCACTTTGGGAGGCCAAGGCGAATAGATTGCCTGAGTCTGAGGGTTCAAGACCAGACCGGGGAACCTGGCCAGACCTCATCTCTACAATAAAAATCAAAAGTTAACTGGGCATGCCAGCATGTGGCTTTAGTCCCAGCTACTTGAAAGGCTGAAGTGGAAGGATCGCCTGAGCCCAGCAGGTCTACGCTGGGGTGGCCATTGAGTGTGCCACTACACTCCAGTCTGGGGAACAGAGTGAGACTCCAACTCAAAAAAAAAAAATCTGGCTTCACTAATCATCAGAGAAATGCAAATCAAAACCACTCTGAGATACTACCTAACTCAAGTAAAAACAGCCATCATTAAACAAAAAACAAATGATGCTGGAGAGGCTGTGGAGAAAAGGGAATGCTTCTGCATTGCTGGTGGGAGTGTAAACTAGTTCAATCTCTATGGAAAACACTGTGGTGATTTTTTTAAAGAATTAGAAATAGACCTTCCATATGAAGCAGCAATCCCTCTTCTGGAAATATACTTGGAGGAACTCAAATCATTCTAAAAAAAAGATACTTGCACATGTATGTTTATTGCAGCACTATTCACAACAGCAAAAACATGGAACCAACCCTGCTACTCATCAAAAGTGAACTGGATAAAGAAAACATGGTACGTATACACAATGGAGTACTACACAGCCATAAAGAAGGACAAGATTATGGACCTTGCAGCAACTTGGATGGATTTAGAGTTCATCATACTCAGTGATCTATCACAAAAGCAAATAACCGAATATCACACGTTCTCACACATAAGTGGGTTCTGAACATTCATCACAATACTATAAAGGAGGTATCAGCAGTAGTGGGATACTGCCAGGGAAAGGGGGGGACACATAATATCACTAAGGTACCTGAACTTAAACCGGGAAAGTTAGGACCAGTTGAGGGCCCAAACTTCACCTGCACATAAACTACCTACATACCCAGTCCTGATTTGTACGCCACGTCATTACATTAAAACGAAAGAAAGAAAGAAAACACGGAGTTGTTCCTTTGGCCACATACATGCAAAGCTCCAAGAGAGGTGACAGTGTAGATATCACGGGAATGGATACTGCTCAGAAAGGAATGCCCCACAAGAGAGAAAGAGTCTACAGTGTCACCCAGCATGCTGTCGGCATTGTCACTAACAAACAAGTCAAAGGCAGATTCTTGCCAGAATTCACGTGCATACTGAGCACACTAAGCACTCTCAAGAGTCGAGAGAACTTCCTGAAACACATGAAGGAAAAGGCAAGAAAAAGAAGGCAGCCAAGGAGAAACACACCTGGAAGTCGATGAAGCACCAGCCTGCCTCACCCAGAGAAGCACACCTTGTGAGAACCCATGGGAAGGAGCCTGAGCTACTGGAGCCTACTCCCTATGCATTCTTGGCTCGAGAGGTATAAAAAACAAAAGATCTCTGGACCATAAAAAAGTAGCATTGCATCTTCATAATGCTTATATTTCTCCACATTTTCTAAAATGAGCATATATTACTCATGAAGAAGTCTGTCATCTCTTGTGATATTCCTGTCTGAAATCTCCCATTCTGGCCACATTAGGTTTCTCAAGTCTCTATGCTTAATCTTTACATTGAGAATTTTATGCTAGTAAAAATCTCATACCTGGCCTATCTTTATTTTCTGTATTCTCTGCATTCTATCTCTTCCTTTCAAGTAAATTAAGTCTCTAATTCCATCACTTTGTTTCTATAAGTAATTCAGTCCCCCATAGCCCTCTGAGGTCACTCTCCCTCTACCCTTTCATGATGGCTATTTTCAGTGGGAAAGTCAGGAAGCATGACCTAAAATGATTTCTGTTTTAGAAAATGCTATTCTTGGCTGGGCACAGTGGTTCACGCCTATAAACCAGCACTTTGGGAGGCCAAGGTGAGAGGACTGCCTGAGCCCATGGGTTCGAGACCAGCCTGGGCAACTTAGCGAGACTTCATCTCTACAATAAATCAAAAAACTTAGCTGGCCGTGGTAACGCATGCCTGTAGTTCCAGCTACTTGGAAGGCTGAGGCAGAAGGATCGCCTGAGCCCAGCAGGTTGAGGCTGTGGTGGCCATGAGCGTGCCACTGCACTCTGGCCTGGGTGACAGAGTGAGACTCCAACACAAAAAAACAAAAAGAAAAAGAAAAGAAAATGCTGTTCTTGCTGGGCGCAGTGGCTCAAGCCTGTAATCCCAGTACTTTGGGAGGCCAAGGCGAGACGACTGCCTGAGACCAGCCTGAGCAACTTGGTGAGACCTTGTCTCCACAATAAATCAAAAAAGTGGGCCGGGTGCGGTAGCTCATGCCTATAATCTCAGCACTTTGGGAGACGGAGGTAAGAGGATTGCCTGAGTCCACGGGTTCAAGACCAGCCTGGGCAACTTGGTGAGACCTCATCTGCACAATAAATCAAAACATCAGCTGGGCATGGTGGCTCATCCCTGTAATTCCCGCTACTTGGAAGGCTAAGACAGAAGGATCACCTGAGCCTAGCAGGTCAAGGCTGCAGTGGCCATGAGCATACCACTGCACTCCAGCCTAGGCAACACAGTGAGTCTCCAACGCAAAATAAAAAAAAAAATCAGCAGGGTATTGTGGCACACACCTGTAGTTCCAGCTACTTGGAAGACTGAGGCAGAAGGATTGCCTGAAACCCAGCAGGTCAAGGCTGCGGTACCTATGAACTTGCCACTGCATTCCAGTCTGGATGACAGAGTGAGACCTCAACTCAAAAAAAAAAAGAAAATGCTATTCTTGTCGAAAGTTTTGTGGGGTTTTTTTTGCCTAAGCTGAAGTGCAGTCGTAGCTCTTTGTGACCTCGAACTCCAGGACTCAAGTCATCCTCCTGCCTCAGCCTCCCCAGTAGCTAGGACTACAGGTGTGTTCTATGACAAAAATCATCTTTTTTAATTACTTTTTATAGAGACAGGGGTCTTACTATGTTGCCCAGGCTAGCCTTGAACTCCTGTCCTCAAGCAATCTTCCCTTCTTCCAAAGCAACGGGATTATAGGTGTGACCACTGCACCTGGTCATCCAAACAACGTTCTTCACATCCAGTTGCACAGCTCAAGTGGCAATGAAGCTTAGTCAGTTGGGGCAGAAACCGTCCTTACCTATTAGTGCATTACAAATCTTCAGCAATAAAACTTAGTCACTGGGGCCAGAAACCTTCCTTCTGGCAAAAGATCCAGCCGCTAAAACATTTATCTTGGCCAAAGGCTAAGTTGACAGAAAAACACTGCAGATGAGGCAGCTTTCATGTCAGTGGTGAGCAACTTCTAAGATTTATAAGTTAAATTACTCTTACAGTCACTAATCACATCACTATTACTTGCCTATGAAGGTACTTAATGACAGACTACGTCTTTTCTTTAATAATATTTACCTCAGGCGGCTTTTAAGAATACTATCCCAGCCTGGGTAACATAGCCAGGTCTCATCTCTACAAAAAAGAATCAAGAAATAGAGGGGTGTTGTGGTACATGCTTGTATTCTCAGCTACCCAAAAGGCTTAGATGGAAGAGCTCCTGAGCCCAGGAGGTCAAGGCCGTGGTGAACCATAACCGTGCCACTGCACTCCAGTCTGGGATACAGAATGAGACTCCGACTCAAAGAGTATCATGCACATTGTGATGTTCAAAAGGCATCAGACTAAACAGGTTCACCTCAACTACACTTTCAAATAGTTACCTTTTTTAATCTCAACATTATGACAACCACTTTCATACACATAAAAAGGTAAGCTTCAACACCACTTCTAAATCAAAAAATAATGCTTACTATTTTCTGTCATTTCAGCATTTGTCAGGTCCTCTGTCTTCTTGGAGTAATTTCGTATATTGATGCCAGTAAGTGTACTTAGAAATGAAAGCTCTGAATTGAAATGTTCAACCTGACTTCTCAGATCTTTTGAAGATTCCCATCCTTCAGGATCTGGTTGGTGTATTTCTTGAAATGATTTTCTAAAAGGCAAGTATCAGAAACAGTTACTCTAATTACTAACAAGTATTTCATCTAATATTCCTAATTTTCCTCAAACTGCTCCCATTTTGTCCCTCATACTTTCTTCCCATAAAATCACCCACCCTCAAAAAAAACTACCTAAGAATTTTCTCAAAACCAATGTGGCTACTAACACTGCAATCTTTAATTTCAAAAAACAAATGGAACCAAATTATGCTATCATACTTCTACATATTAGAAAGATCTTTAAAATAAATTATAGGCCGGGGTGGTGGCTCAAACCTGTAATCACAGCACTTTGGGAGACCGAGGGGAGGGTACTGGCTGAGCCCACGGGATCAAGAACAGCCTGGGCAACTTGGCAAGACCTCATCTCTACAATAAATCATAAAAACTAGCTGTGCCTGTAGTTCTGGCAACTTGGAAGGCCGAGGCAGAAGGATCACCTGAGCCTAGCAGGTCGAGGCTGAGGTGGCCATGAGCATGCCACTGCACTCCAGCCTGGGCGACAGAGTGAGACTCCAACTCAAACAAATAAGTAAATGAATAATAACAGGAATACTTCACAAAATGAAAATGTCACATCTAACTCAGGAAATTCCAATCTAAATGTCTGGCATCCCAAGACTTCTCAAAATATTTTTAAAGATACCTTGAAATTTAAAAAAAAAAAAGGTCAAGCGAGGTGGCTCACGCCTGTAATCCCAGCACCTTGGGAGACAGAGGCAAGAGGATTGCCTGAGCCCAGGAGTTCACCCAGCCTGGGCAACTTGGTGAGGCCTCTTCTCTACAATAAATCAAAAAATTAGCCAGGGTGCATGCCTGTAGTTGCAGCAACTTGAAAGGCTGAGGCGGAAGGATCACTGGAGCCCAGGAGGTCAAAGCAGTGACTGTAAGCATACTAGTGTACTCCTGCCTGGGAAACAGCGAGACACCAACTCCAAAGGGAAAAAAAAAGAAAAGAAAAAAGAAATCTAAGAATACAGGAGGGAAAAATTCCACAGGAAAAAGAAACAGCATAATCTCTTGAAACACCACTATAACCAGACATTCTTCACTGAGAATATACAAATCTATTTTCCTATAAAAAAAGAATTAAAGTGTAGCTAATAATTGCATTGGACAGTACTTCACTTATAGTCATTCTTCATTTCCCTTAAACTCTGTACTACATTCTACTCTGTTGACGTCTCCTACCATCTTAAAACATCCCTTCCTTGGATACTGGGGCATGATTATCTTGATTCTCATTTCCTATCTTGGGTCCTCCACTCTCCGCTTCTTGTCTCCAACAGTAGAGGTAAACCCTAACACTCTTACTTCTGCTGTCCATTCCATTGAGGAATACTCAATGATTAACCTCAGCCCCTCTAGGCCAGTAACTCTTAAAATACCTCTTCTGTACATCTCTTCTTACAAAGTAGATCTAGCTTGATATCCTACCAAATGTTTTCTCCTCAAACCAGCTTTCCCCCTGAATTTCCCTACTCTTGTTAATAATGAAATCTTTCCCTTGATATTTTAGGCTCTATATCTTAAAAGTTACCCTTGACTCCTTCACTTGCCTCATATCTGGAATTACTGTTAATCTTTCTGCTCCTTCACAAAACTATCTGTCTTTTTCTATTTCTGATTCCACTATACTAGCCCAATTCTCTTGACCATAACATGTTTTACTTTATGTCTACAGAGAATAATAGAATAATCTAACCCCATATTCTACACACTGAGGATCCAAGACTTGTATAAAAGTCTTTATTAAAGGCCAGGCTCAGTGGCTCAGTCTGTCATCCCAGCACTTTGGGAGGCCGAGGCGAGTGGAGCCTGCGGGTTCAAGACCAGCCTGGGCAAGTTGGCGAGACCTCATTTCTACAATAAATCAAAAATTAGCCAGGTGTAGTAGTGCGGGCCTACAGTTCCAGCTACTTGGAAGGCTGAGGTGGAAAGATCGCAGGAGCCCAGAAGGTTGAGGCTGCGGTGGGCGGGAGTGTGCCACTGCACTCCAGTCTGGGCAAGAGACTCCAACTCAAAAAAAAAAAAAAAAAGTCGATTTAAAATTACTTAGGCCAGGCGTGGTGGCTCACGCATATAATCCTAGCACATTGGGAGGCCTGAGCCCAGGGTTTGAGACCAGCCTGGGCAACTTGACAAGACCTTATCTCTACAATAAAATAAAAAATTAGCCAGGTGTGGTGGCGCATACTTGTAGTTCCAGCTACTGGAAGGCTGAGGTGGAAGGATCACCTAAGCCCAGAAAGTCAAGGCTGCAGTGACTGTGAGTATGCCTCTAATCTGGGCAACAGAGACTCCAACTCAAAAAAAAAAAATTTCTTAAACATTAATATAAGTGTATTCTGTATCATGAGACTACCATACCCTCTTTTGAATTTGTCATCACAGGCTGATGCCCCACAAATTACATCAAATATATAAAGTCAATGAAAAAAGAACAGAGGCAATCTTCATCCATAAATGATGAATTCCTGATAAGTGAACACCAAACGTACAGCAAGCCATGAATTAAGATTTCAGGTTATTTCCAATGGAGAAAAGTGGCAAGAGAACCAACTTGACATATTAAAGGATATGTACACACAACTCTAAAAACTCCTTGTTGTGTCAGAGGGGGAACTGGGGAGTTATTATTTAATGGGTATAGTGTTTCAGTTTGAAGTGATGAAAGATTCTGAAGATAGTGGGATGAGTGCAACAATGTTTAATGCCACTGAACTGTACACTTAAAAATGGCTAAAATATTGAACTGCATGTGTATTTTACCACAAAAAAGGGAAAACCTGCACATTCTCATTCAGAGCAACTATCTACTTTGAGCAAATATCATTGGTCTATTTCAATGAATGTTAGTTTGAATTGCTTTTAATTTTTATTGGTTTTATACTTTTATTATTTGTATGTTTGTCTTAGTAGCATTAAAATTTTTGTCCAAATTGAGGGTTCACAAGAAATTTTATTCCTTTAAAACAAATCTATATACAATTTGAGTGTGTGTATATATATATAT